CATCCCTACCTAGAAATGCTGAACAAACCTAAGACTGCTGCATGAGAAGCAAGTGTTCAATCAGCTATAGCTTTTCTCCTAATTACTAATAATTGAGCCAGATCACACACACGTGTGTGCACACAAAGCCAGTTCATCCGGGTTACTTAACTCAGGATGAGAAGCAGTAAGCATAACTGCCATTTCGAATATGCAAGCCCCAACCACCCTGTGCTGCATGCATCTAGCCATCACGGATTCTTCAAGCCTTGAAGAACCCTTGCATAACCTACTACCAATGGCAGGTTACACGAGAGTTGTTTTAATTCTCAAACAATCCACAATGGCTGGGTTTGTAAGATATAGATCAGAGGCTAGATACTGAAAAATGGAGAAATCATTCCGTAAGTGGAAGGCTATCGCTGGGAAAGCCTCCTTCATGTTGTCTCCATTCAGGCTCCCCTAAGAGGGGGCAGTTAAGGAAATCCTCAGCCATAGATTGTGGTGTTCAGGTAGACTGCAGTTGAGAGAGGTGTTCCATGAGGCATATTATGACTTCAGGCCATGTAGGGCTTTACAGGATAGAATCGGCACCCTGAAATGGGCTTGGAAGCATACCTGCCGTCAATGCAGCTAAGCCAGAATTGATCTTACATGTCCGGACTTTTTGGTCCTGGTTATTAATCTGACCACTGTATTTTGCAGCTTCTCAACAGTCTTCAAGAGTACCTTTGCAGGAACCCGATTTTGAGATTACAGATGTTTTCAAACATACATGCCAGCATCCTGACTAGTGGTCATGCTGGCTGGGGCTGATAGGAAGGCATCAACTTGGGAAAGGCTGCACTATTCATTCCTCCATCTCAGAAGCAAGATCTATGCCCTGACAAGTGTGAACATAAAACTCGTCCTGTGGCAGAGATGCCTCGGAAGCATTCTTTGCTTGAAACCCGGCCCAGTTTAAAATTCACCCATCATCACATATATACAGCAAGCTAATTTCTGTATGAAAAATCAATTTGATGCTGTTGCTATAGGAACTAGGTTCAGTTTCCAATGGGTTTCATTTTTTTTTTTTAAACCAAACTTTGCATTTAAGAAGAAATTGAATTTGAAGGGGGAAGGAAGGGCAGAGGAAGGACATTAAAGTCAGAGGTTGGTATTTGAAACCTCATCTACCTCTCCCCCGCCCCCCTCATACACGCTCTGCCCCCCTCCTCTGCCTTCCTGGATCACAGGCAACTTCCCCTGGAAAGGTAAAGAGTGTTAAATGATTCACCAGAAGTATGACTCACCATAAGACCTAGGCTGGCGGGGGGGGGGGGGTACTACACAGATGCTGAGAACACTCGCCTGCCTGTGTTAATCCACAGAAAACTACACACAAAAATGGGAATGGTCTCTGTGACACAGGGACTAGAATGTTGGAGCGGAACTTGAGAAATCTGGGTTCTAGTCCTGTGTCTCTGGGTCAGACACAGACTCTCCACCTAACCTGCCTCACAAGCTTGCTGAAATGATAAAATGGAGTGGAGGACGACTCTGTAAGCCCCCTCGGGTTCCTTGCAAGAGGAACACAGTGAGGATATACATTATGTTAAATAAATAAAGTAGCAAAACTGGCTAAGGGCTGCATAACTGAAGAGAGTCAGATTTAAAAAGAACGAAATAGAACGGAGCAGAGGATAAGGTTCTCTGTGGCTGCAGATGTGTGTGACATCCAGGACTCCTCCAAGTGCCAGTTGTTGTTCCTCTTGTTATTGCATTGAATTTAGCTCCCACCACGCTTCTCTTGCGAGGAACCCAAGGCAGCCTAGGTAGCTCCATTTTAGGCTCACAACAGCTCGAGAAGAGCCAGTGTGGCATAATGGTGAAGAGCGCAGGATCATACTCAGGCAATCTGGGGTCTAGTCCCCACTCAAGCAACTGGGTGACTTTTGCCCAATTGCAGCCCCTCTGCCCAACCTACCTCACAGGGTGGTTGTTGGGAGAAACAGAAAAGAGGATAATTATGTAAGTCACCCTGAGCTCCTCCAAAGGGGAAAAAGGGTGGGATATAAATTTAATGCATCAATCAATGAAACTTCTGGTTGGGATGGCATGCAGGGAGCTGCCTGCTGCCTCTTGCAGGGGGCAGTCCCCTCCATGTTGCCCCAGTCAAGCTGGAGGCTGCCTTTGTTGAGCTCCAGGCCATGCACACTGTGTTTTAAAAGCCACCTTTGTGCCCTGCAAAGCAAAAGGGAGGCTGAGGTTGCTGGTCAGGCTCCAGGAGCCTGCTGGAGCAGAAGACAGGAGGAGCAGGAAGGAAGGTAAGCACGGTGTGTCCGAGCTAGCCACCTCTCTCTGACATCAGTCACTCCCTGGCATCTCCAGGTAGGGCACCGAGTGTTCACAAGCAAGGCATGATGCAGCCACGTCCGTCTGCCATGAACATCTGGTATCAAGAGGGAGGCAAGCTCCGAACTTGGGACTTGAACATGACAACACTTTCATCTTTCCAAGGCTTTGGGGCAGATGGCACTTATCTTACCCCATCCTTCCCTGGTCCCAATTGCTAAAAGTCAATTAATTGATTTGTTTGTTTGTTTGTTTAAGATACATTGGTTTTGAAAAAGCCCTTGGTGCATCTCAGGGGAGATGTCCAGAATTATACACACACAAATATGAACAGCTCCCCAAAGTACTTACACAAGATGCTCACAAAAATGCAGTTATGAATGGGTTGTCCAGGGAGTAAAATTTTCTGGTTTCTGGCAGCTGATACATAGCCTGGTTTTCAGATTGTTCCCTCTGGTACAGGCCTACAGACTGAAGGGGGCAGGCACTAAGAATGTGCTATGGATGCTTTTTCTCATCTAATGTAGAAAATAGTGGCACGGAATCCCATAACTACTGATGCATTGTGTGAATCAGTTCTTATAGTTGTCAGTCCTGAAAATTATGGACAGCTGAATTATAGGAGAGGGAACACATCTCTCTCTCCACACAGCTGATAGTTTTATAACCTTCCATCATGCATGCCCAGTCTTGCCATCCAAGTAATCTCTGCCTAAACTTAAAAAGCTCCAACACTATAGGAAAGGTGCTTCAAGCCCTTGATAATTTCAGCCATTCTTTTCTGGAGCTTCATCCAGAGTTATGATGCCCTTTTAAACCCCAAATGAGATAACCAAATGATGTGTTGTATTCTCACTCTGGCCATAGTGTAAGATAGATGTGCTAACCTTATGATGCTTCCTTGCTGCATTTTTTCCATTTCCATTTTTTAGGCTGTTGAAGTTGTGTGTGCCATATTAAAGGTGTGCTATGAACTGAATTGCAAGTCATGAATTCCTCCTTAGGAACATGGGAAGCTGCCAGACTATGTGTCCATCTATCCTATTTTTGCTGTCACTGATTGGCTCTGGCTTTCCAGGGGTTCAGGCAGAATTGTTTCCCAGTCCTACCTGGAGATGCCAGAGACTGAGCCCTGGGTTTTCCACATGTAACATAAAGCATGTGCTCTACCACTAAGCAACAACCCCTGGCAAAGTGAAGAAATGATAGCTAGTTTTAAGAATTTGTATATTATCATTTTTGCAAAAAGCAAACTGTTACATAAAGCTAACTTGGTTTTGGCAGCACATATGGCTAGTTTTACACTTAACATACAAATTCACAGGTGCCCACGAGGGCCACAGAACTAGCAAACCACCTGCAAATTTCTGTCCAGGTTTTCTTCCTTGTTACTTCAACAGATGGCCACCCTTAAGTTCTGATGGGCTGGGATGTTCTGCTCAGCCTTCCCCTGCCTTACGAAGCTCATCAACTTCTTCCTGCCCACAGGCTTTTCAAGTATGTGTTGCACAACGCACTGCTGAACACCGCATCCCACAGTGCCCGTGGATGCCGAAAATAAACTCTGGCTGCATCTTGACTGAGTGCAAATATGCACACTTCGGCCTACCCCTATCCACCCCCACAACCACTTCACAGTGGAGGTCGGTGACAGCCGCACAGGCCTTGAGGCAGCACACGTGGCTGAAGTGGCGTCTTTCAACTTCCAAAGTGGATTCATTTACCGGCTTCACATGCATGGAGGAAACTGTGTCCCAAGCCTCTGACTGGCTCCAAACTCCAACTTCAGCTCTGGCCCCGCCTGCGTTCGACATGCAGAGCTGGATGCATTCAGACTGAAACTTATGGGGAAGATATGGCTTAGCCAAACTATGCCACTCTTGCCAAGGGACTCTTAGTTGCTCTGGTCCACCTGGATTTGGACAACACGTGAAAACATGGAGGGTTTTCTAAGCTCTACAATTAGTCATGGCTACTGGGATTGTTTATAAGCCATCATGGTTATAAACCTCTCTGAGGGAAACAGGGGGTTCACACAATACACTAAACCACACCACAGGGCTTAATGTGTTGTGTGTCATGGAGTATCTTGGACTTTTAACACTCCTTTGTCAAGTTCATCCCTTCAGGTTGGTATTAAAGCACACCTCTCACCCCTCCTTTGGGTTAGAGGGTATGCTTACTATTTTAGAGAGTGATGTGGGTGCTTACACAAATGGCAGCATCACCAGAGATAAGGCCCTTGTTTCCCAGAAAGCAATCTGGTGAGATTAAAAGAACAGGATCTTGAGCAAGAACGAGTACAAGGCAGAAGTGGGGAGGTCACAAAATCATTCTCTTGAACCCCCGCAAAGGCGGTACTGGAGGGCATCACCTCACTTAGCAGCAAGCCAGGCTCCCAGTTAGAGAAGTCTAGAGGGCCCCAAGAGAGGCGGCTGCTTGCATATTGATGCCCACGGACACCAAGTTGGAAAGCAAAGGCTGGAGGAAGGTCACAATAACCAGGTGCCTACACGGAAACGCAACAGAGTAGCCAAACTCTCTTCTGGTCAACATGCTGCCCTGATTAAATGAAATTTCCCCATTATTCCAGAACCTCACCGGAGACCTCAGCCTCCGGGCAAACTGCAGTGACTGTCCTGCTCAGAGAAATCCAGTAGCAAAAGCCATCGCACCCCTGTTACCTTCATTGAAATTGTCATCTGCCGAAATGTGAGTGAGCGGAGACTGGGGCCGAGAGTCACCGCAAAGTGAGTAGCTGTGCTCTGCTTGAATGAGCGGTGCTGGAGAAGCCGGCGAGAGCTCCACTTCCATCATCTCGTGTTTATCAGACAAGAAGGGGTCGTTCAAGAGCTGCCCCAAGACATCCTGGGAAAAATCATCGAGGAGTTCCGTGAAGGGCTGTGACAAAAAGAGGAAAGAGGAAACGAATCAGGCAGCTATCGTGTTACTAGTCTGTATTAACTATACATAGTCCTTCTGCTTCAAATTGTGTGGCAATCATTTCATTTACAGGGTCACATCATGAAACTCGGGTAACCCAACTGGCACCCCAGAAATGGAAACAGGCACTCCACTGAGATAACAGAACTGGCACATCAAAAACGGGGGTTGTGTGGACCCGTCCAGAACAGGGTTCACCATGTGCCTTTTCTCACAGCTCAGCCAGCGAAGAACCTGAGAGTAGCCCTGAAGGGTTAGATACCTGCCCAGGCAACCATGCAACGCAAGCAGGGCATGAAGAGTGCCCTGCATTTGTCCCTGCATTCGCTCACCAGCCATGGAATTTGCTGGGGGCCTTAAGGTGGGCAGCCTAACCAGGCTCACAGGTCTGTGAGAGGCTAACATGGGGCGAAGGGTGAAGGAATGCCATCAGACTGAGCTCCTTGAAGGCATTAAGTACCTGAACATCCCACATATACTCCATCACCACCACATCTCCATTCTTAGATGCTTAGAGTAATAGCTATTGAGAAACATGTCCTGCATCCATCTTCACACATTCCAAGTTAGGGCCAGCCCTATCATTAGATTGAGTGAAGGAGCTTCCTCAGGCAGCAGATTCTGGGAAAGCAAGGAGGACCAGCAAGGTTGTCCCAGGGCAGAACTGCATGGGTACCAGACAGAGCTACTCTGCTGCACACAGATTCAACAGGTGCACTCCTATGTATGCATGTATGTATTTTCATCTGCTGGGTCAGCCCTGTCGGAACAAAATCACTTCAGATGAAGACATGCAAGAGAAAGTGAATGAACTATACGCAGGGGTCCTTTTTGCAGATTTATGGTTTAACAAGTAATTCATATAGGTACAATTCCCCCACCGATCCCAGCAAACAGAGGTGAGGTGGATAGCCACTGGGATCCTGCTTCCACCCATATGCATACTCAGCTTTTGTGCGTTGACATTATGATTGGGGCTTTACAAATCCATCTTGCTGAAAAATTGCCTCATGCCAATGACCAATTGTCATATCTTACAGCAATTTGATCCAAATGTTAATTGGATGCTAAGTGAACTATTTTCTTTTGTCATTTCTGAACCTACAGCATATTTAACTGGATCAGCTTCAATTCTAGTATTCTGGGTGAAAATACTGCACCTGTCTCCATTTACTCTCTTCAGGCATTTTCCCTGCTGCATTGCATAGGTCTGGATCGATGCCATAAACATCGGCTAACTTGCAAACAGAGTCAATCCCTTCACCGTTCTAAGATGTGCCCACTGTGTGCTGATTATTTCAACCTGCATACAATGGGCTGGCTCGTACACGCTTGTATTCAGTTTAGTTAGCCAAATGTAGTTACTGTTCAGTTCATGCTTACACATGCATGTTTATGGCTCTATGACAGTAACATCAAGGTAGCTGTATATTTTCCTGCATTTTTAAAAAATTCCTTTGTAAATCACACTTTAAAAATGGAGATTTACTTTTGACAGCTCTCAGAATTAACTACTTTCATAAATAGGGTGACTTGCACTTCTGCATATTCTTAAGGTGGTAGAATTTCAGGAAAAAGTACAAAATTGAGGGCACCCAATAGGGCACATGAACAAAACAAAACACCTGTATAAGCATCGTCCTACAAAGGGAGAGAACCAGCCACCAGTTCACTTTCACAAGATAAGATCACTCATACTTTTTGCTACATTTGACAGCTAACCTTCTGACAGCTGTCTAACAGAGCCAAATCACACAATAAACCTACCTAAGCAATGCCTAGATTTTGCCAGCAAGCAGCTCCCTCCACACTGCCCCCCGAGGCTCTCCATTCCTGCACTATGGATATCTGCATTTGTGCAATGCAGATAAAAAATTAAAATGTGCAAATATTTGTGAAAATAAGGGAGCAATGATATGTAAAATGTTTTGCAAACATGGGTAGCCCCTCCAAGGTGCACTGAGGCACTCTGAAGGGGCTCTCCATAGCTGTCAGGTCAGGTTGCAAAAGCTGGCTTAACATTTAGCTTTTGCAATCTCCAGGAAAAATGTCTGGCCCTTTAAAAATATGAAACAGTGGTTGAAATACATAGATTGCTAAAGACAAACAGAAAACCCATGGTCAGACTCTTATCAACCGCCCCCCAGAGCAAAGTCCACAGTAATATTATGAAACAAATTCTGATGTTGCCAGAATGAGTCAAAATGAACAAACATATTTCACCCAACTCAGCAATGCAAAATCTAACAAAATATGCTGTCAAAACATCTAATCCCTGTGTATGCGCTCCACATGATAGGGGTTATGTTCTCCGAGCATTCATATCTTCAGCTGCAAGGGAAAACTTGTTTGCCAGGTTTTTCTGCAACTTATTTTATAGTAGGCCTTCCCCAACCAGGTGCCCTCCAATTGTGTTGGAACATCACTCCTGTGGCCAATGGCCATGCTGACTGGGAATTATGGGAGTTGCAGTCCAAAACATCTGGTTGGGGAAGGCTAGTGAAATCTGTAGACAACCCAAGGAGCAGCAATTCTGGTCCCACAACACACATACCATAAGCAATCACTCACATACACATTAACAAAAGACGTCCCATCTTGTGTATGACTTCCTTGCCCCTCCAAGTCCAAGGATGAAGAACTGCAGTTGTGCACTTATCTGTTCCTTGCGGCAGGAAGCCATTTAGGGTTTTTTGCTCAGTCTAAAGCATCATTATTGGATGCAAGCAGAACTCTTGCCTTGTTGCTTATTTTATAAATTGGTGCTCATATAGTTTTAAGCAGTCTATACTTGCAGAGCAGGGCTGGGGTGTACTGTACATTCCAGTTCAGTGGCGTTGTCAGTGCCCCAAATCAAACTGCATGGCTGCTGATCCACTGCGGGTTCTCCAAATCAAGACTACAGTATCCAACACCCTAGAACACAGGCCAGGCTGACTGAGACTTATGGGAGTCAGAGTGTTGTGAGCCAGGCGTCCCTTCCCAATGAAGGCAATCACTCCGGCAATCACTAAAAAGAGTCTTTTTTCCAAACAGCTGCAAAGTATTCACAAACACCAAAAGTATACTCAAGGTAGAAAGTCGGCCTCTCGCTCTGACTGAAATCACCCCGCACTTTGCTTATGAACCCTTCGGGGCCTGTCTCTTGGGGGCAGTGCACTCTGAACGCCGCTCCTCCAATTGCCCCAGCCGACGAGGGCGCCTGCACAACGAGCATCCCAAATAACCTCAGAAACCTCCCCGGCCTGTTCTCTATCGGATTCTTTCTCACAATTAAGAATAGTATTGGCCCGTGTTTGTCCTTGAAGTGCTTTGATCCTGTGCTTTCTCAGCCTGCCCCGCTGGGGGTAGTTTGCCACCTGGAGTCCCGCTAGTCTCAACATCTGCAGTATCAGGGTGAGAACTCTGAACCTCCACTGGAACAATAATTAACTCCCCTTCTTCCAAGCCTAAGCTATGGTTCCCACCAGAGCCTTCACTCTCTTGTGCACGCTTGGGAATTTCATCTGAGCACTTGCGCACGACACAGCCATCAACAACTGCAAAGATACAAGTTCTGTACTGCACAGGAAGCTATTTGAGGGCAAAACGGACTCTCGCTCTGTTGCAGTGTGCGGTTACAACAGCTCTGGAAACAGGATTTGCCGGGAAGACCACAATTGGTGCAATCACACTTCACACCAACAAGCTTCCCATGTGGCAATTACACCATTATGATCTCCAGTGACATCTGTGCTGCCACATTAATAGCAGGAGGATCAAGATGCCTTCAGTCATGTAGCGTTACAGACTTCTGCACCACTCTTCTATCCATCTGTTCCACAAAGCTGAGAATGCAAGATCAGAAGAACACACAAGATCAATAAAATCATATTTAAAATATGGGTATTATTAGGAAATATCTGTGGACATGCGTGATGTTATGTTAGAATAAACTCTTCCATATCAACATATAATGGAAGATATGCCTTAGATGGATATCGGAATGATTAGCAGGAAGAGACTCCTTTGTGTGGACTGTTGAGAGAGTAGAGGGCCATTCCTAAAAACCTCCTGCTACACTGTCCCACCACTGGATGAACTTGGGAGAGGCTCGGGATGGAGCCTCTTTGGCTGATCCTACAGAGCACACTCTCCAGCATTACCAATTTCTCTGATACCACACCTATTTCCACATGGTATCCCAGGGAAGGACAGAAGGCACATCAGGTCTCTGGGTGATGCGCCACTGATGGACAAGAGTTGCTGACTCCAGATGAAAAAGGTTCCTCCACCCATCATCAGGCCACTGAAATTAAGAAGGCTGAGGTAGGAAAGAGGACTTGGGTTTGTGGAGATGCAATTTGGTCCTGGCACTGAAGACAAATTCCACTGCTGTGCGTATGCTGAGAAGCAGCAGTTCCTTAATGTCATCCGTGTGCCCGAGCAACTATTTTTTATTTGGATTTTGGGTCTCTGGCAAAAAGTAGATCCTGTGAACACGTTTAACATGTTCTAGAGAAGGACTATATATGAAGAAGTGCACAGACATCTACATAAACACATTCCAAATAAATGAGGCAATGAGAAAGCTAGGTGCCAATTCTTCTAAAAGCAAGTCCAGAGGTAACAGATATACTGCTGACTAGCTTTAAAATGTCATTAAAGGTAACAGCACTAAGTAAACCCCAGTGTCACCTTAATGCCCCAGCCTGAAGGGCTTGATCACCTCAGGTTTCTATTTACCAAAGCCCAAGTTAAAGTCCAGGTCAAATCTAAGGTGGGAGTGCCAACTACAGAAAACCTTGACTTAGCTCTTAACTAAGAAAAACACCATCAGACGGATTTGCCTCGATAAGACAGAGGGATCAGGCAGGGAGAAGGTAGTAGAGGCTGACATGTTGAGTCAATTAATTTCTGCCTAGTGGCAGAACAAGGCAGAAGAGCTTTGGGAAGAAGAGGGAAGAACGAGGCATGTG